CCCAGCCCAGCCCCGTACCTGCCCCGTTTCCCGGATCATGATGTTGTCGCTGTGCCTGTCGCCGATGCCCAGCACGTAGGTGGCCACGCAGTACCCAGCACAGGAGAGGGTGAACTCCTCAATAGCCTGTTCCAGTGCCTCACTGCAGGGGGTAAACAGGATGGAAAGAGGATTTGACTTGCACTCCAGCACATCAGCCCTGGGAAAGTGTTTATAGCTTCCCCTTGCAAAGGTGGGGAAGGGAAGGGTGTGTCTGAAGTGCTGTGGAGCTCTCCAGAGGCACTGCCCCATCCACACCTCACAGCAACAACCCTCTGCAACTGGAGAGGACCAGGTAAGGTTCTGTCTGAAATCTCCATGAAAATGGTTTAGACTCAATGAAATTCTCATTTCCAGATCTCCACAGACAAGGTGAGCTCTTAGAATGATTCCTACATCAGAGTAGCACTGATGTGTTGCCGCTGGCCCTTTCTGTAGCCAGTAAAACCTCAAGCTACACAGCTTTTGTGCTCCTTGCTTTTTTCACCTCCCAGGTTTGGCATTAGTCCTTCTGCCTCTCTTCCAGCTGCCACCACACTGACTGCCTAGCTCTGGAGCCAGTAATGGGACCAATGGGCAGATCAAGGTTTGGATCCAGCCTGTGGACAGTGCTAAATTAAGCTAGCAAAAGAGCTTGTGAACCAGGTGGTTTAATTCCTGCTCAGCACCTCTACAGGTCCACATGACACCTTCTGGCATGCCAGGCAGTGAAGCAGCCACAGACATTATGGGACAACTTGGGAATATGCATAACTGAAGGAAAAAAACTGAACAAAGCAGAAGAAATGCCTTTAGCTGAAGGGGGCAGCAGAAGGTAAGCCCACTTACCCTGGGTTCTTGGACTTCAGCCAGTTCAGCAGTGCATCCTTGTTGAAGGCTGCAGTGGCCACCATGTTGCTCTTGTTCAGCTGGATGTTGGCAATGGTGTCTGAATGCATGACTACTTCTATCAGTCCAGTCTTGTCTCCTGTGGAGAGGCAGCCATAAGGGGTCATCCTGCAGAGATGAAAGAAACCCTTCCACTGAAATCTTGCCCAGAATTGGGTTGTGTTGACTTTTAAGCTTTCCCTTGTCTGCCATACTTACTCCTCAGCACCACACAACCTGACTAGCTGCTCACTGAATACTAGACAGAGCCACTGGGGACAAAATAAGCTTGTAGACAAAAGGGCCTCACCCCACACAATTTATCATTGCAGTAGAACCACTATGTGCAACTCACCTCAGGTCCAGGCCCTCTTGCTTCCACAGGACATCCATCAGCTGGATCATCTGCAGAGTCAGCATGTCCTGACGAAGATCTGTGAGTATTGCAGAGGAAACAAGGGTCAGAAGGAGCTGCCATTCTCCCCTCCTCTTGTGCTCTTGCAAGTGGTGCTGGCTCTGCCCCTGCAGCTGGCTGCTGGAAGGGCTGGTGCTATGCTGGCACTTGCCAGGTCATTAGTTAAGCCCTTCAGCACAGAGCAATGTCTCCTAGTGCAGCAGCAGTGCACAGCCACCATCCTGGACACCTCCACTCAGACCTGACTACACCCATGGAGGGAGGTACCTGCTACTTCCCGTGGCCAAAGCTCTCCCTGTCATAGCCAACACAGCTCCTGAGAAAAGATCAGTGAGCAGCAGCTGCTCCAAAGCTGGGGTGGCTGTAGCTCTTCCAGACCTCACATCAAGCTTCCTTTTACTGTGCAAAGGTATCCAGCTACTGCTGTGCTCAAGTCTTAATGAAGAGCACAGCAAGTGAAATATAGTGGAGATTTTATTATTTTAATCTTGATTTAAGTTTAATATTACTATTAATCTCCAGATTACTGTCAAAAATCTCAAATGCATTGACAGTCCTCATTTGTACATCTTAATGGTCCATATCTAGGCCCACTCCCCACAATAAGTATTTGAGACTATTATGCCTGTTAAAACATAACCTTTAAAGACTTACCATCTCCATTTTTAAAAATAATACCAACTCCACCTCCTCCTGTCTCTTCATTATTAAACACAATCCATAAAGGTTTCATTTTGGAGTCCATAAAGGTGCACTGCTCCACACTAGAGGAAACAAAAATATTACCATCAGCATTTCCATCTGTTACAAAACCAGCCACCTCAGCTGCAAATTCAACAGCACCTACAAATGCTAATGGACTGGTGACTTCCAGGAGAAAGGAGGACCTTGGGGCAACCAGAAGCCTGGCTCTACTGCTGAACAAGGCCTGCAGTGCAGATTAAGAGATCTTCCTTACCAAACTTCAGCAAGGATAATGTTGGGGTTCAGGGGGGACTGGAGGTGGGAAAGTGCTTCAAGATAAGTTTCTTGCTTCATGCACATATGCATCATCTCCTTTGTTTGAGGCTTGGTGGCCTTCTGAGAACTCACTTTAACAAAATCATTCAGAGCTTTCATCTTGTTGAGTGCTTCTCCCTGAAAAAAAGGGTGGGATAGAAGAGGGTTAAGAAATAGAAAATTCCTGGAGAAATTTTAAAAGCTATTAAAATCTACTGTGAAATGTAAACCTTGGTTGTGTCTCTTCCCTTCTCTTCAACTTGTAATTTCAAATTCAGTAGTACCTGCTTGAAGGAGATCCATAATCATTATGGATCCAAATCAGCCACTTGTGATCACCTCCTATGCAGTGGTCACTCATTCAACCCATCTAACAACAGCAGTGGTGTCTGAACAGTTCAAAAAGCAATTTAGACACAGAGTGCATTTTGGGACGTGTGTGGGTGAGTAAGAGATGAGCAAAGCTACATGTGATGGGGAACTCCAGACTCCTAATAGGGTATGCCAAAACCAATACAGCAGTTAAAAGGCTTTTTTTTCCTATGAGTGACAACTTTATGTTGGGAAAGGTAACAGCTGAGACCTGCTCCAAGCAAGAGGGAAGTCAACCTCATGGCTAAAAGCAATGTTTACCTGTTTCATCAAAACTTTCATATGATGGGTGCTGCCTCTGCAGTATGCTTCCAGGATCAGGCCAAACCTCAAGGCAACTGCAGGAACATGCATTTCTGACCTGGGGAAGAAGGGGAGTTAAAGCAGTTCTGACTCATGGCAGTGAGTGACTAATTCTCCCATTTATGTCAGCAGGAGGAGGGAGGGAGTGGAGGGTGCAGAACATTAGTTGCTGTTTAGGTTCTTTCTGTGTACTGGAGAAGGGAAAAAATGGAGCCATCCCAGAAGGTGATGTAGAAAAAACACTGCTTGAAGTGATGAGGAATCTTTCTGGATGACTACATTGCTAACCACTCCTTTGAGAAGAGTGCTTAAAGAACAAGGACAGTTCAGAGCCTTTGGCTCAGAACTGGCAGCTGGCCTTGGGTACCCAAGGGAAATTTCAACTCACAGGCATGTGTATTTATATTTCTATATGTTCTTAAAACAGAACCTAACCCAAACACCATCACAACAACAACAAAAGAAAAAGATAACAAACAAGCAAATAAAGAATCTGTGTCCTCCTGCAATAATCCTTATTCAGTCTCCCAAAGTAAAAAGCAGCAGTTCCTGGGTTTTGGTAATCACAGCAAGGAAGCCCCACCACTGCTTTGATAAAGGGCACTAGCTCAAGGACAGCCAACAGCCTTTAAATAAATCACCTGTCTCCTACACACACAGACATGCTTGCTGCCTCACTTCACAGAGCAATGAGGAAACCAGTAAACACTGGTTTCCCTTGATTACTGAGAAAAAGGCTAAAAGTTTGGCTCTTTACCTCAGATGCCAGAAGAGGAAGTGCCCGATCTTGCGGTTGGATAAGGCCCTGTCCAGCAGGAACTTGGTTAATTCACAGTCTAAGTAGGATTCATATTTGAGCACCTGAACAAGCTGTAGCAGATACTGGAACAATTCATGATCTCTGTGGGGGGAAAGGAAAAATAAAATACAAGCTTGTCTTTAGTGCAACAAGTGTACTTGCAAAACCTGCAAAGACAAGACTGCCAGCCTTGTTCACAGCCCCCTCAGCAGCCTGACCAGCAATAGGAAGGGGCTCTGCATGTCCCCCTGGACAACACTCACGTCAGCTTCTTCAACGAGTTGATGGCAAAGGAACCAACGTAACGGTCAGGAAAGCTGAAATCCAGCAGCTCCAAGGCATTCAGGACAGGCAGCTCTGGCCAGGTCTGAAGCAAGGAGATCATCTGTAAGGGAAAAAAAAAAAACAAACCCTTTTGGAACAAGGTTTTTATGACAATGGATATAAATCTAAAATTCTACTGAGGGAAGAACAGCTCCTTTGAGGAGGGCAGGGTGCATCACTATTTATAGATGCCTCAGAGCAAGTCTGCAGACTCCAGATCAAAAACCCATCAATCCAAACTTCTTAGCAAGGCTGACAAGGAGAAGCCATCCAAGTCCACAGCAGGGTTACATTCCCTGTACCACAATTAGTGGCATCAGCTCTTTGGAAAAGCACTTTTCTGCAGCATAATAATGTAGACTAGAAAGGGACCTTTCGAGACTATCCAATTTGGATTCTATTTCTGCCATGAATCAGATCTTTTTTTTCTTGCTTCCAGTTTCTAAAGGGACTAAGCAAGACCTTGTTGGTCAGTAAGGAGTCTGGGAGAGTGCACAGAGCCAAAGGGAGTGCAGAAGAGCCAAACCTCAACTCAGTGAGTACCACTCAGCATATGTTCACAGTGACTGGTTGAGAACAGAAACTACTCCACAGCCTCAGTCATACCAAACCTACCTGCACAGGACCACTGCAAAACCTCCCCTGCTAGGCTGGCCTCCCAGACACAACAACAGGAATGCAGACAATGAAAGGAGGACCAAAAAGGGAGCCCTGGCTGCCAAGCCCAGCATCCTCACCTGGGCAACATCTTCATGCTTGTTCCATTTGGTGATGATAAGCAGCTTTGCCAAAGCCTGTGGGTACTGGTCGCGGATATCGTGCCTCATCTTCCACACCAGGTCCTTCTCGTGCTCGTACAGCTCCGTGTGGCTCCTCCGCTCCAGGATCTCCTTCAGCTGCAGCTTCTGCTCATGGCAATCACAGGAAAGAGCATACACAGGGCTCAGCCTCAACCCAGAGGCCCTGCTCAGTCCAGATAGACCCTGTAGGACTGGGGCATGACCCAGTTTGGTGATAAAAAGCTGGCGGGGGGCAAGATGAACATAGAACTTGCCCTATGAAGCCAGGCTTGAACATAGCCTGCACATAGCTGAAAGACTCATGCCAGAAGACTCACCTCCTCAAGGTCTTCTGGAGCAGCACGGGGTTGTTCTCCATTCCTCCCCAACTCCAGCAGCTGGGACACAAATAAAGAGTCTGAGAAAGGCTCCTAATTTTCTCTGTACTCTTAGCTCACCATCAGTTCAGGCATTTATGCTGCATTAGAGATCAGTGGTCACCCGACACCTCTGGAGAAGGGAATCACACCTCTCACAGCCCAAGGACAGGTAATGTGCTCAGCAGGACCCCTCTGCTCAGAGGAGTAAGCAGCTGCCCAAGGAGACCCTTCCCTGGTAATAACAGGAATGAAGGGATGAGTCCTCTCCCCCAAAAGGGCACATCTGCACACCCAGAGAGTCCATGAACAGCAGCTCTGGGTCACCAAGCTCCAGGCTAGGATGAGCCATTCCAGATTCTTGGAACTGGTGTGTCTTTGCCAAGCAGACAGTGCTGCCCAGGCCACCTCTCACACTGGCACAAGCTGTTAAAGCTCCTGAGCCAGAACATGCATCACGGGGAGCATGCATGTGTGTCCCTGGCAGAGCAGACCTCCTTTCTTTCCTGGAACAGGCACATTTCTTCTTCCACTTTAAGTGTCTGGCTGGTTGCAGTGACAGATGGAAAATCCCCATAGCACAGAGCACGTTATCACTCTGTGCTGAAAGGGAGGGAGCTGTCTACTTTCACTCATTTCCCCTTTTATTCCTCTTCCTTCCTCTAAAGCCTAATGTTGCCTGCAATTTGAAGGCAGCTCAGTTAAACCCATTTTTTTAAACAAATATTCATCTATGAGTGCAGCTTTAACTCAGCAATACCCAGGAATTCACAGCTTGCAAAAGCATCCACTCTATGGTCCAATTAGTTAAGGGAAAAAGTCAAATTTTCAATTGACAAAATCTATTCATCAGGTTTGCTTGCACCTAGTCCCTCCTGACAGCTACCCAAGGGACAGGGACAGCAAAGCTGGGGAACCTCTGTGCCTCCCAGAAGAGGTGCCCATGTCCCCTACCTGCTCAAACGACGGGTAATACACGGGATGCGACGCAACGCTGGGGAAGCAGATGACCAAGGCTGCTGCACTTTCTGTGTTGGGGTTGCACTGTACCGTGCCCATGGGGTTCAGGAGTTCCCCCTTCTCATCTGAAAAGCAAAGCACATAAAATAAACCCCTGAACCCAAATCTTCTGAAGCTTTGGTCCAGAAAGCAGAGTACCAACCGCCTCCAGCTCTGGCACTGGGCACTGCCTGGCCCTGAGCAGCTCACTTTGTTTTCCTGACCTCTCCCAGACATGACAGCAGCAACCCCTTGTGCCATACATGAAATGCTGAGCAAAACAAGGCCTTCATCTTGGCAGGGCTCTAGGTGCCATCACAATACAGAGTGGTAATCGTGGTGGGTCTGTTAGTCTGAACTATGGCCCCTTCTACAACGACTGGACAGCAATGCAGAATGCAGGGTGTCTCCCATCTTTGGGGTGGAAACTAAAGGCACAGAACAATACAGTAGCTCTATCTCCTGACGTACCTGGAAAGGAGGACCACATGTGCAAGCAGCACTCCCCTGTTTTCAGCTGGTCCTTGTAGTCAAAGAGCATGACATTCACCCAGGCGATGGGGCAGTCCTGCAGGGCAGAGGAAGCAGCTCACTCAGGGGCTGTAGCTGCTACAGGCAGGTAGTGTCCCATTCTAGACTATGTAGGCACCCCCTGAACAAAGAGCTGCTGCAAAAATAACCACCCCAGGTAGCCCTGCCTATCTGCTTACCCTTTAGGTTCTAAAATCAGAGTACAAGACGGCATCAAATTCAGACATTTAGCCAAGACCTGCAGCCTTCTGTGTAGTGCTGAACGGCACCAAACGCTCCCCACAAATCTCTCTGACATTTCATCACCAAAATTGCATAGCTGAAGACTCTCTAAGTTTCCAGTAAAGCCTTGCAACTCTACACTTGCTGGTATTTGAAGGAGCAATGACATATACACTTAATATATTTCACAGTTCCAGGGGAGAAAGAAGAACCTTAACTGGGAAACTGGGAACACAGAGTTTACATGACTTCAGAAAACTATGCAAAGTGCTAGATATAGCTGATAACAAGAAGAAAAGGCTTGGCTCCTTTGTACAATAATAAATACTATCTATAGCAACCCAACTTTACACTGCCAATACTCCACCACACCCCACAAAATAAACCCCCCAAGTCCAACCCAGTCACACAAGCCAGTCTCACTGTGGAGGTGGGAGACTCTAGCAAGTAAAGGGACTGGGACATGGCCAAGAAAAAGAGCCCATCCCCCTGCTCTAACCCAGTTCCCCACCACCAGAGCAGACAGATATAGTCCACAAGTGACCCAAGACTTCCTGCAGTCAGGTTCTCCAAATGGAACAGTTTCAGCAATGCCAGCGTGTCACTGGGACACACACTAGCACAGAGACTGATTTGCAAAGAGGTTAGGAAGCACAATTCTAGTGAGATGCTCCCACAAACAGTGTGATATTTGAAGGGCACCCCAGCAAATACCTTCTTGTTCCCCTGAGACAGCCTAGAGAACGTACCGGGCTTACCCCGGAGGGACACCAAAGGACTTGCTGCAGGGAGCAAAGTCAGCATTTGCCTCTAATGCAACAAAATCAATCCCTTCCAAGTGGCCTCTCACAAACCTTTGAGTTGATTTCATTAGACCAAATATGCTCAGTAAAATCCCCTTTGAGACTTCAGCTTCTAGATCACAGGAAAAAGCCAAACAAAACACCACCACCAGCAATAACCTTTTCTGAGAGAGTAAATGCCATCAAACCACAGCACAGAGCCTGCCAAAACACAAGGCAAGATTTTTGGCAGATAAGGCCCAGCAAAGCAACGATTCAGCATTGTAAGGACAGAAATATCTCCTGCATGACTTACAGAAACACTGAAAGCCAACCCTTTGGGTGACATTAACGCTCTGACTCATCCCAGTCAGCCTGTAAGCAAGCTTGTTTTTGTGGTAGTAAATGATTTATTCCCACCTATCTGCTCTGGACAGCCTGCACAGACAAACAACAGGCATGTAATAAACCTCCAAGTACTGTAAGCAAAGCAAGTAAAAAGATTATTAATCAAACCCAGAAACGGGAGCGTGCTCTGGCTTTAACTTCTCTTAACCATCATTTTAAATGATATCTGGGCACCTCACTCAGATCTGCAGCTGGCCACATGAAAAAAAGCCAGTTCTGCAGAGTTCAGCTCCAGCAAATATTGTGATTTTCTATTAAGAGCTCACCAGAAGGCATCTACCTTTCCCCAGTACCAGAACACACGTTAACAAGATCCTCTTAACAACTCAGCTAACCAGGCTGGTTTCATTTTATCAATCAGAATACCAAGATTTCCTTCTGACTGCTTCAAACTGAAAATTGTTCCAGTGTGACCACAAAAATGCAGCCTGTGGATGAATCATATATTCCCTTCAACAAAAGCCACCAGCAGGAGTTGGAATTCTACTATTCTTAAGTTTAAAAAAAAAAAAAAAAAAAACAACAATAAAAAGGTTGATCCTGGTCCTGGCTTCAAAATGTTTCCAGTCTGAAGTCTCCAACCCAGAAACTGGTCCCCAGACATTACCACACTGTAACCCTGAGAACCCTATCAATGACAACACAACAAAGGTCATTGAACCCCCCAGCAGTGAGAAGGAACTAGCAGAACTGAGACTAAACTCTTCTGTGATCAGATTTATCAGCCTGGTAAGGAAGGCACAACTAATCCTTTCTTTAAAGCATGGTAACAGTGGTTTTGAGGCTGCAGAAACAATAATTTGCAGAGGAACAAATGCTCATAAGGAAAACCCTTCCCATGCAAGGAACTAGAGGCTTAAGTTACAACACTGGGAAAACAGCAATTCAATTGCAGGCTGCACTTAGATCTACTTTCAGTTACTGAATTATGAATGGGTTAGAAGTTTTGGAATGTAAGTGAGGAAAGTGAGAAATACCTCTTGATTCAGGAGCTCTGAACAAAAGCTTCCAAAGTGATTTAACACTTTCTATCCTCAGTTTGCACAATTTGAACAATAAACCTTGAAGATTCTGCACTTCCAGTTTACCTCACCTGAAGTTTTGCTGTAACCAGTGTTTACATTAATTTTTTTCCCCTCCTTAGCTGTTCATTTGCTCCATGAAGGATTTGCATGAAACACTTTACTAGAAAGAAGATGCAACACAGAAGATGGTTTAACCTCAACTATAAAACAAGGAAGTTGCGGAACAGCAAAACAGAGACACCAACACAAATGATTCCTCTTCATGTGCATTCAGATGCAGAGTTTCTTAATGGTCTTTCTGGACAAGAAATTACATCTAAACCACCTTTCCTACAGGCAGCCACCACTCCTCAGTTTCCTGTTTCTGTTGAAGTTACTGGCCATCGTTCTGCAAGCTCTTCTATTGCTAAAGTCTTCTGAAAGCAAAGGGCATTTGGTTCAGAATGGTGCCCTGTGCCCTCCAGCACTGGCCAGCCTGGCTCAGTCCCACAGTCCCTGGCTTTACTTACAGCTTTCTTGGACTTCTTCTTGGTGGACTTCTTCTTTGCCTTCTCGACGACAGCGTAGAGGGCGAAGCAGAGCCGCGCCATGCGGGGAAGATCACAGATGTTGATATCAAAATCCAGCCTCTGCTTCCACACTGGCTCTGAGCACACGTTCACTTCAGAGCTTGACACTGTCTTGCACAGCATCTCATTGCCGTGAAAGAGACCTGCCTGCACCACCAGCTGAGGGGAGAGAAATGAGAGAGCACCATGAATACACAGGGATGGGACTCGTTTGCTGAAGACACGTGATGAGAAGGGGAATGGGATGGGGCATCTACTCCCCTGAGCAGGATGCCCTATTCCTGTCTCTTCCCTGATTCACTGAGGCATTTAGGTTCCTTAATCTTCCTCTTTACTCAACTTCAGTAAGGGCATTGTTATCTTTTTATTTCATAAGAGCTGCTTAATCATTGCAAAATGCTTGGGTAACCCGTTGGCAGCAGTGTTACAGGCTTCACCCTGCAGAGCCAGGCAATACAAATATTCACCAAGCCTTGTCCCCCAGCATGCTGCAGAAATTCAGTAATTTTTCTGCGGAAAAAGCAGGGCAGGCACCAGGAGCTGGGCAAGTGCTTAAGCCAAAGAGGAGGGAATCAGCATGGAGGAGAAGGGCCCATGCACATGGCTGAGCCCCAGCCCAGGCCTCTGGTGTCTGGGTGCACATCTGCCTGCAAACCTGCTCCCCTGCAGTCTGCCAGCTCACCCTGCAGCCCACAGGCCAGCTCACCCCCACCTCTAGCTCTTGTCACAGTATTGCTGGCTGCTCTGGATCACAGGAGGAGTCCTTGCAAATGAGGGGGCACAGGGCAGAAGAAATAACTATTTCATTGCCTCTTTTTTACAAAGCCTTGTTCTTGCCCTGCAGAACAGCTGTCTGTGTGATATATTCTTGCCCTGTTTCCTTCCTTTCCCAATGGGCAGCCTTTGCCTGCTCTCCCTTCACAGCAAATACCTTGCAAATCCCAGGGCTGGGCTGCACCATGCTTCCTGTCTTAACTTTACCCGTCCCCACCTCTCCCACCATTCTCTCTTCTCAGAGCTGATTTTCCCTCCTCTGCTTTTTGCAGACTTCCCTGCCCCTCTACACCACTGTCAAGTGACATTCACACAGGGCAGCAGTTCCAGCTGCTGCTCAGAAACCTTTGCAGGGGAGTGTTTCTAAGAAGACACTGCTGGGCTGCTGGCTTGCAAGTTCCTGTTGTGCTGCCATTTAGAAACTGCCCAAAGGCCAAGTGAAGCATAATGGAGGATCACATGAGATCAAGCTGCCTCACCACACAAACAAGACAGATGCAACTGGGAAAGCTAGAACACAAAACCAAAACCCCAAAGTGAGTCAGTACCTACCTTCATTCTCTCATCTGCATTGACCTTGCTGCCTTGCACCAGCTCAATGTAGAAAGACTGCTCTAAGGACCAGAGAGAACCATAGTTTGGCTAGAAAGAGAAAAGAGTTCTGATCAGAAATAGATGCAGCAAAGACTTCTCAAGGCAGCATCAGACCTCAGCTCTCATCACATGCTTTTGCTCCAACACAAAAGAGCACTGCAGTGCAGGTGGGCACCATGAAGTCTGTGACAACCACCAGTTGTGGGGGGAGCTGGAAGGCTGACTAGAAATCCCCAGCTCTCAGACCCTAGCCAGGAACCTGTCCTGAGAGAGGCAGGGAGAACCAGCTGCTGCTCCCAGGCAAAGTCAGCATCTCCATCAATGGATGAATGGAGGGTGGCCCTGCTGAGTCACTGTCCCCTTTTACCTTCTTCTTAGGGAGTGGGGGAGGCTTGGCAACCATCTTGGGGGGGCTGGCAATACAGTTGGTCTGCTCATCCCTCATAGCAATGATAGTGGAGGAGTGCACCATGGTCAGGTGGGGCGTCAGGCCTCGGTGCAGGCAGCTGCGAATGTACTGCAAGGGAGCAGAGAGTCAGTGTGGGTGGGACAGAGCCAGGCAAGAGCAGTCAAGCAAATAGGGACTGGCTGAAGCAGAAACAGGTGGAAGGAGTAAGGAAAGGACATGGCAACATCAAAATTCAGTTTTAATTTATCTATCTCCTCTTGCTTTATAAACCTGCAACTCACTGGACTCATGCTGCCAGAACTGAGAATATGAAGTGTCTTTTATAGCTGGCCTTTCATCAACTGACTCAAATGGCTGCATGAAGGGAAAACACCAAGAAGGATTCAGCACTCCCCACAGCAGTTGTCCCTGCCAGGGGAACACAGGATGACTTGCCCAGCTTTCAGGAAGAGAACCACCAGCCCACCATGCAAACAAACAGATATTTCCAGAGCCATAGTCTAAATTTACACAGCACTTGGTATCCAGGAACAAGCTTAGCTCACTAGCTCCTCAAAACATAAGGATCTGCTAGGTTGCTAGCATCCAGGTCCTGTCATTGATGTGTTGCACTCCTGTAACCAGCACTGCCTCCTGATGGAGGATAACATGTCTCAACCCTCCCTTCCAACAAGAAGAGGCCCCACAGGAAGAGACTCATTGATAAAGCATGACACAAGGCTCACCTGGAACTGGTACAGGGGGTAGTTCCCATAGAGATATTCACATTTCCCATTCACCTGCAGGGTGTAGTCCTCTGGGTTCTCCACTGTCTCGTGGCGGAAGACAGTAGCCTGCTTCTTGATAGCATAGCTCATTAAGGTGATGGGGAACTCCTTTGGGGAGATCTGGAAAGTGAAGCTCTCCTGCAATCCCAACAACACAGCACACACGGTCAAAGGCCAGCGAAGGGCTGACATCAGCACAAGGAGCAGCAGTAGCTCAGTGGACAGGTAACAACATTCCTGTTGCTGGCAATAAAGAGGAGGATAGGAAGGCAGAGTTACCCCCCAGCCCAACCCCCATCAGCAAGTAAGTGGGGCTGTTTGCCAAACTGGGCAGGAGCACGTTTCAGCAGTGCAAGCACAAGGCTGGAGATGAGGAACTTCAAGTCCCATTTTAGCAGAATCACCAGTTCATGCGGTTGCTAGTCACTAAAAATCTTCCACTGTCATTCCACCACCAAAGACACAGGCCTGGAAGGCCCTTCTCCCATGGGGGTGGCTCCTGCTTCATGCCCAGGCACAACATGCAAAAATCACATTAACCAAGGGCAGCAGGCAAAAACAGGGGCCTGTGGGCAACACAGACCAATGCCTGCAAGCAGTGTATGCTGAGCATGAGCAGAGCAGACTCTTGGGCTTCAAAAGGAAAGGCTTGTGCTGGAGTCTGTGCTCCTCTCCTACCCAGAACCAAAAAGCTTTCCACCACATGTACATGCAGCAATCTCAGCTGCCACCTAACCAGTACATCCAATGCATGCTCAGGAAGGGGAACAGCTCCCTTGGCTGGAGGCTGGGAGTCTCCCTCCCAACCATCTCCAGAGGCAAAGGAATCTGGAGAATGAAGATGAACACTGAACACATGGAAACACTGTCCACACACACATTGTTCTGTCTCCAAATGCCCCAAGGTTCCCTAAGAGAAGGCACAAGCCAGTCAAACACTGTCACAGAAATGTTTCTGCTTTACCCCGCCAGACTGAAACTTGATGTTGACAAAAATGTTCTTGGTGGGGGTATGGAGAGGGCCAGGCCCGAGGCCTTTGGCCAGAGGCTCCAGCTGCAAGGGGAAGTTGTACTCCATCCACGCTGCCCAGCTGAGCTGCTGCCTCTTGGCTGCTCTCTCCTCACAGAACTGGCACATCTTGACACGGAAATCGTTCACCTCTGGATCCTGCACAGAGTCAAACTCATGCAGACCTAGGTGAAGAGTAGGAGAGAAAGGCAAAATAAGGATCTGCACCCAATGGGGGAAATGAGCCTTTGATAATTAAGTGTCTGTGAAACAGTCTCCCCAAAAACATGCTTAATATTTGGGCAAGAGGAGAAGAGTCAGCAAGGCCACTAGAATCACTTATTTACCCCATAAAACCACACCAGCTCAATGACTGATCACCCCTCTTGGGCCTGCACACACACTGCTCCCTTACCAGATCCACCAGAGATGAAACCTGCTAATGCCTGAGCAGGGCTCCATCACTACTGCACGAGCAGCCAGGCTGCCTGGCACACTCCTGGCAGCCCCACTCCTGGCAGGAGCAGTGATGGGGAACTGACCTTTCCCAATGAGCAGGCTGATCTGGGAATTGATAACCTTCTTGACCCGGTCTCCCTCTCGAGCCACGAGGCGCAGCACCGGGAGGAAGGGCTGGATGTCACAGAGCCGACGCTGCTCATCCTCCAGCTCCTGCTGCTCTGCTGTCTGGTTGATGCACGTGAAGACGTAGGCCTCAGGGTCACTGAGCATGTGGTACAGGGGCTCATACTGAGCATGCTTCCACACCACCTGCGCCAGACCAACAGCAAGGTGAAACTACTGCTGCACCGTCAGAACCTCGGCATCCTCTTACAGTTGCCCCACAACCTCACTCTCCCCAGATACACCATCTAGTGAAGGTGATGCACCACCAAACCTTCTCACAGCATTCCTGGACCTACTGTTCAGCCAAGTCTGGTGGCTCCAACCTGTGCTGAGCTGCTGGGTAGGTTTATTTGCCAGTGCCTTTAACTGACTTCCTTTTTTGTGCTTGCCATTTATTTCAGGCAAACAAAATCCCTCAACCCAAGGGTTTAAATAACCCCCATGGAACACCTTGCAGTGAGTACCTGCTGACTGCTAGCCTCAGGAAACAGAGATACTGCTCCCACTGGACACAAAGCTGGGTTAAGTAACTTGCCCCCAGTAACGTGAAATCCTCATCCCAAGGTTGGGCAGGTACCCAGAGAACTGAGCCTGACAGCACTGGCACCACCATCAGCACCCTGCTGCCCCAAGTCTCAGTAGCTAGACATGGGTTTAGTGGATTGCAGAGGCTCTCACAAAGGAGGGGCTCTCACAGTCAGTCACAAGGAACAACCTCAGAACAATGCAGAAGAAACCCAACCTGCACTGCATTAAGACCCAACACATTTCCCCAGGCCCTCCCTGAGAACAGTCTCCTGATTCCAGGAAACTGAAGATCAGACTGTGGAACAAGGCTGTTACCTGCTTGATGGTGCCCAAGCTGGCATTGCAGGACACAGAGAGGTTTAAATATATGCCTGTGGGCAGCAGAAAGTCCACCTGGATGTTTTGGTTTTCCCCCTTGGACCAGAATTCCGTAGGGCAGTAAATGCCTGGGGGCATCCTGCTCACTTCTTAGCTACCACCTGCAAGAAAAGAGGAAAAAATCTGTTGCTGTTGACTACCTAATATCTCCATGGATCTCTGCTGGACTCTGTAGAAAGTTAACATGCAGAAGAACCCAAGGAAAGGCAGGTTAGTGTATCCTCACAGCTAAGGACCCTTAGTCCAATTTCCAGTCCAGTGCCTTTAAGCCACACAACTGTTATTGCTACAGCAGTTGCTTCTATCTCAGTGCAACCCTTTCTTAATCTCTCCTAGACCAGGATTAACATCTACATCTGCATTTGACAAAGAAATTAAAGAATTTTCTTCACTTGAGAACAAAGACACTTGTCCAAATAGCTCATCTATGACCAAGCAGCCAACAGAAACAATGAGTCCCTACCCCAGCTTTGTAAGGCAATCCTCAGGCCACATGCTCCAAGCTCCACTTTGTTTTTCCAGAGCTCAGTTCCAGTCTGCAAGAGGGAGAAAGAGATGTTGCTGGTTCTGAGCATGCATTTTATAGACACAAACAAATAATACCCTATTGTATATCCCCCCCTCTACAAGTAGAGGAAAAATGAAACCTAAGGCTGAGGCAATCAAAATAATCACTTGGCAGGGCCCTACAATTTATTCTCAGTATATCCAAAGCACACAAAGAAGCAAAAAAGAATCTGAATGCTATCAGATACAAACTATTGTTTTCAAGCACAGAATAAGCACACACACTAACAGCTAAAACAAAAGGCATTCACCAGAAGCCCATCGTACATCTTCTCTTAAAGACATCCAATACCAAAGTCAGAGAAGGTCTCATGCTCCATCCATTCTCCCACAAGCAAAATACTACAGCAGTATAAAACCCCAGCTCCTTCCACAGATGACAGGCAGCACAACGTGGTGTCCCCATGTCCATGAAGAGCTTGGAACTGTTACCATTACCTCCTAGCAAGAGACAGATAAGTGGCTCTAACTCTCCTCAACCACCTCAGCAGAGAAACCAGCTCATCTGAATTCCCTCTCACTTACCAGAGTTTTTCCACCAGGTCAGCAGAGACACATGCCAGGAGCACAGCCTGGAGGGTGCTCACACAGCCACGGCTCGTGGCTGCTGTGGAAACCCAGGCTCCAGTCTCCTGCCCCTCTGGTTCTTTGCTGGTTCTAAACCCAGCCCTGCTCGTGCCCTGAGCAATTCTAACAGCATCACTTACCCTCAGCCCATGGAACCAGTAAAAAACCTCCTCATTCACAACTTAAAATACTGTTTGCAGCGGGCAAGGTACAAACTTAGAAGGAAACCGAGCAGCGTGCTGTTGAAGAATTGGGTCTCCCAAATCATGAAGCCCTGCTGGCAGCTTCTCGTGAGCCAGCCCTATGCTTCAGCACGACAAGAAGCCCAGCACCTTATCTGGCCGTGCCCGGGAGCACAACGCTTCCCCAGCAGCAGTGAGGTAAGGATTCCCAGAAACACGAGCTGGGCTTTATCTGCCCGGCTTCCTCCGCACATGCTCTATCGCCGGGGACCGGATACAGCGCCCACAAACCAGCCCTGCCTCGAGAGGGAGGGAAGTAAAAGGGGAGGAGGCAGGCTCTACAAGCTTGAATAAAGCAAAACAACCTTCCCTCCTCTTCTGCTCATTAACAATAAAAGCAGCAAGCTTCTAGGACACCTTCTACGTCAGCCTGTCCTAATGGCAACAGAAGCAGCGAACTATCAGGAGTGGACTGAGCAGCAGAGGCTGAAGGCACAACAAGGGCTGACCTGCTTCCTTCTGCTGAGGATTGCTACCTGATGCCACATCTCATCAGGTAGGAAGAGCCTACCTAAGCCATTAAGGCTACAACATCAAGTTCAAGCTGCCCAGTACATTGTCTTTCTAAACTCACGGATGTTCTCCCAGCGTAGAGGGATTTTTCCAACTGAACCTGGAATGGAAAAGCCAAAGGAGGAATAATTCTGGACGTGCATTGTCTCCAGTACTCATTTACCAAGCCTCTCCTCTTCCCAATGCTAAATTCAGGATGCTCTACTAGCAGGACCTTAGATCTGATCCAGTGTGACAGTTTTTACATGAAGCAAGCTCGGCCTAGATTAATACTCTTGCACCACCCTACTTTCATCTTCCCTTTTGCCCTGGGAAATCAGAACAGAGATCTCCAGGCTGTAACCTTGTTTGCACTATCTTGACCTCATGAGTAGCAGTAATTACAATTGCCTTTTCTCTGGATCATTTTGCCATTTGTGAACAGCCAAAAGCAGCATCATTCCTTTTTGTCAGGGTTTACACTGCTGGCTTTGTCCAACATGTCCTCTTTGTCTTCCACTAAGGCAGTCTTTAAGAAAAGGAATTCCCATTGCAGATGTTCATTTTTAAAAGCCTCAGCATCATCTCAGACTTCCATTCTGGTTTACTGTTAAAAATCCCATGTTGTGGTAGGGTTCTGACCTGTAGGTGTGACAGCCTGACATTCAAGTTAATCAGCCCACACTTGACAGAAATTAGTTTAGTGCACAACTTGCCTATCTCTTAAAGCTGTGACAAGCAGTGATGAGACAGAAGTTTGTGTTTTGGTGGGATGCAAACACACAGCTCCAACCCCAAGCAGGTACACAGGCTATCAGACCCCTGCTTATCAACAACTGGTTGTAGCCACCCACTTTTTACCATAAGAACCCCCAGTTATCACTCTTCCTACTGCAACATACCACAAAACATCTTCTTGCTAGAGTACTTCCACATTCCTCCACCCACATCTTCCTCTAACACTTCTTCCTCCACCACCAGCCACATCTCCCACAACCCTCAAACGCCTGTGTCCAGTGCAAGGCAGGTTCACAGCTGCCTAAGATGCAGGACAGACAACCAGAACACACAAAGCTCTTGGTCTGCAGCTGGTGCACACACACACTCCACACAAGAGAAAGATTCCTCAAGACTGGCTGACCAGCTGACCCGTTTGGGTGGCCAAACAAGTCCTGGTGATGCACACAGCCAAGGTAAAGACCAGGCCCTCGAGAGGGCCAAGTATACAGTTCTGTGAACTTCAGTTAGCCCCTGAACTGCAGGCATGCACAGAACATTTGAGGAAACCACAGGGCCTCAAATACCTCCTCATTCATCTCAGGCCACAGTTTTCTTCTGGGCCTGCTTGTACACAAGCCTGACCCAAAAATTGCTCCATGGTATGTACCCCATGGAGGAAAAAATCTGATGCCATATAATGAATATAGGCACCACATCAGCAACAGGAGGTAGCCTGTGTTTTGCACCCACACCCCCTGAGGAATGCAGAGTTGCACATAAAGGCAAATTCACACAGACTGTAAGAAGGCATGTTTGAAATTACCCAGTCCACCTTTAACAAGCCAGCAGTCAGTACGAAACACACGAACACAATCTCTCTTATGAAGTTTATCAACCACAGCTCTGGTGTTTACAACACACAACTGCTACTGAGAGGGAAAAGAAAAAAAAAAGAAAGCAAAGCAGCAAGCTCACACACGGAGCAGCGTTCCACAAACCTCTGTGAGGCTGCAGCATGAGACAGACACGGAAGCTCTAACGCCCACAAACAGATTACAAAATTACTAAGCCTCAGGAGTAGAAAAACACCTTTCAAGTTTATAAGAAACAAGTGGTGCAGAGCTCCCAGGTGATGCGTGTGGCGTGGGAGATGGCAGGAAGCAACTTTCATTGCAGGCATCAACTCAGCTGGGGGAGGAGACCACGGGAATTTTTATGCACACACGTGGCTGACACGTCTTCACCACACAATCAATATGCTCTGCAGACCTGCACCAGTAGCCTAAGCTTTTGTAGGTGCAGACCCACTTCAGTGAGTGCTCTGAAGGTGTTTGGCGGGGGTCACGGGGTAAAACAAGTCAGCTGGATGCTGCAGGCAAGTCTTTTAGGCATTGACAGACTGTAAAATTAACCCACAAATTCTCCTCCAAGAACAGACTGGGGAAAACTCCCATGGCAGGCAAGAGTGTCAAACTGTGCCTGTGTGTGGGAGGTTTGCAGGGGGACTCTCCCCTCACAGGGCTAGCTGGGTACTCACATCTACTTACCAGCCACTTAATCACACAAAAAACAGGCTGCATCTGCTTCCCTTGTGGCATAACACTAAAAAATCCTGATTCAGGCTCCAGTCCCACCATGTGGACACAACCAACAGAAGCTCACAGTCAGACTGGCCTTTGCAGCTCTGCCTGCTGACAAGTATTGACAGCCCTGCTCTCTGCTCATCTCCAAAAGCACACGTGGGGGTGAGGGGTGCTACAAAGAGCCTCAGTGCCTGCAGAGGTGCCAGTGTCTGCTGGGCAGCCACACTCACCCCAGCTGAGCAGGGACCTTCAATGCAGTAGATCACACCAGAAGCTCTGGCCACCGGATCCAGTGCAAGCTGGAGTGAGAACTCACAGCCTGCCCTGCAGACTGCCACCAAGAGTGACTCAGCCTGGACATCCAGCTAACAGCAGCCCTGTATGCCAGAAGAATGGCTCTGCTGCCTTCTTGAATCCCTGCTAACATCATTTTGGAGGTGGCATTAATAGGGCAGATTTTGCACTCATGTCAACAAAAGCCTTTCCTTTACAACTTCCATGAAGGTTTCTGTTCCTGTGACAGTGTTGCACCTTCAGTATGGACCTGAGTTGCACCAGAGCCCAATTGTCTGTGGCTCCTCCTTCAACACAAGTGTAAGACTTGGCCTATGAACTACATAGAAAAAAACTAGGACCCCTTGGAAAGGTGTGGAGAAGCATTCAAACACCAAACCACCCCTAAAATTAATGCTTTTGACCTTCAGAGTTAATTTCCTCAAACCCTAGCTTAGAATATTTTAATCTCCTTTATTTGATTTATCATAATAAGACTTCTACCTCTGCCAATTACAAAAGTTAAATATTTGGTTTTGCACATTATGACCTTCTGGTTTGTATACTGACCTCTTACATCTTGCCACCCAATTCCCTGCACCGATTCGTTCATTCTTTCAACAGCAGTTGACTGTTCATCCAACTCCACAGAGCAGACAC